TATATATATATATATATATATATATATATATATATATATGTATTTTTAATCAACTAGTTTTGCGGTTAATTTATTCGAGATTGGTGAGACCTACTTTCTAGGCTAAACTGCGAATAATGGAGGTCGAAATCGGAGGCTTCGTCGGACGGAAGGATCGGGCGGCGACCTTCCTTCACGTACTGCCGCAGCGCCGCCACAATCAGGTGGCCGACGGAGGATTCCGTGGTCATGAGCACCTGCACGGGCGCGAGGCTTCGGAGCACCGTCACCTTCAGCAGCATCTTGGCCGGATGCCTCGGCAAGCCCTCCGGCGCCGTCGCCGGCGTTCCGGCGTGGCTTCGGAGGGAGGAGAGGTCGGAAACCGTCATCGGACGGCGGAGCTGAGCGACGGACATGGCGGTGTGGCCGTGGAAAGAGGAAGACCTTCCCCTCCGGTGAGTTTCGTTATGGGCGTTGCGGTTGCTCTTGGGGCTTGGCATGGAGCTACCCTTAGCGGATAATAATAAAATAATAATATAGAGAGAGCAGCAATAGGAAGGCGCAAATTAAGTTGGAATTGGAAGAGGTTATTCTAAACTCATTATTACGTTTAAGACCGCGTTTGGCTGAGTTTCAGGGAAAAGAGATTGTGTGGACCTCAATCGGCGTTTGACGCCGACCGGGAGCTTGCATAACGAGAAGGGCGTGACTATAAGGGGTGTGAGGAGGGAGAGGCAAACGAGGTATTTGTTTTGAAGAGCATGGTTGGTTTGAGGATAGTTTATATAAGGGGAGATTTTAGATGTAAATATAAATTAAAATGATAAATAAAGAGTAGAGTGGGGAGAGGCGTGGAAGGAGGATATGAGATGACCAAATTTTGGGCCACACGTGTCAGGGGATGACGTGTGTGGTGGGGAAATTGCGCTTCCAACTCCTAAGTTTTGGTCTACAAAATTAGTTCGTTACTGCTGCTACCGCCCCTGCAACCAAAACAAATCTTCGGAACAACCTAACTTTTTATATTTCTAATTATCTCAATCCTTCTTTACTTAATTACTAGGTTAATCCTAGTCATCAAAAAGAGAAATGCAACACGAGGACTTTTCAGGATTTTTTAGAAAATAATGCATATTACGTTATTAATTAATATTTAAAATATTTAGTATAAATGAACTAAATAAAACATAATACTCTATAACTTAAAGTCAAATTTAATAAAAGTTAATCACTTATACATTATTAATGTAAAAAATTTTATACTACCAGTCAATTAGAATTGTTAATAGTACTTTTCATCTGCTTATTTAATTAAATTAAAATAAAAAAGATATTATTAACGATTCTGATTGACTGTCAATGTAAAAATATTTTACACTATCAGTGTATAGGTGATTAATTTGTATTAAATTAGACGAAAAAGGATATTTACAATAAATAATATTAAGTTATAGAGTATTATGTTTTATTTAATTCACTTATACTAAATATCTTAAATATTAGGTGATTAACTCATTCAATAATTAAGCTTAACATGTGCATGTGATAGTTAATTAAAAAACAAGTAAGGAACCACTTTGGCCTCGTGGTTGGATTGGCCAGATTATTCTTTTTTTAATATATTTTATTGTTAGAAGAATCAATTTTGTTGGGTTCATTTTGCGAATCATGTTCTTTCTCTATTTCTTTTTCTCTCTACCACACAACATTAAACAACGGCACCGTAAAGAAAACTAACACGCCATAATAAGAGTGTCAATTGATTGAAAAACAACAAAAGGGTTTCCTAAAAAAGTTGAATCTAGCTTCTTGGTTGCTACATATACCGCTGCTTTTTGGAGGTTTTCACTTTTTACTTTATAATTCGAAGTTGTTTTTGGTAATTGACATTAGTTTTAAATTGTTATTGTATTCCTGTTGTGGTAAACAGTTAGAAGTTACATAATTTAAGGTTTATAGCTATTATGGGTTATTCCATTTTACAGTTAAATAATTACACTTTATAGCATTAAAATATATTTTAATTATATATATATATACCGATAGAGTCATAGTCGATGGCTGTTCAGCAAATTATACACATTAGTTTGTTGATTAAATTTATATATATTGACAGGATCCAAGTTGAAAATTATTGAGTTTCTAGTCTTAAAAAACATTTATATACCGAAAACATACGAAGCTTATCAATATATTGGAAAAAGTCCAAAAGGTTAGGCTCATCATCAAGCCTGAACCCAATAAGGATATTGTATAAAATAATTAAATTTGATGAGATGAAAAAATATTTTTTAATTATATTTATTATAATATTTATTGTATCATCCTAATTGAGACCAAAAACTAATTTAAGTATTGGAATGACTTTTTATAAATACATTTCTTTTATTTAAGTAAGTCAAAACAATGATTATCAAATTGAAGATCAATAATATTATTTTTTATTTATAATTATTATCCTTTTATATTAATAAAATTAGTTTTTCTTTAACTTTTTAACTAGCTTGTTCTTTTTTTTTTTTTAATGATTTTTGTTATTTAATTGAATATTGGTTACCAACTTACCATCACCTAATTATACCACTAATTCTCATTTTTTATCTAACATTTGATAAGGAAATAAATTTGTAGCTAGTCAATCAAGAGAGGGCACATGTAAGTGAAAGAAGTTTTTAGGCCCTCCTTGAAGATCACCGATGTCAAAGTGCCGGACGTTATTCTTAGGGATGGCAAAACGGGCTAGCCCGACCCGTTTGGCCCGACCTGCCAAAAATGGGTCGGGTCGGGTCAGGCCGCTAATAGAAAACAGGTTGGGATAGTTGGCCCACCCTGTCTAAGTACGGGCTAGCAGGTCGGCAGGCTAGCCTGCATACCACAAAAAAAAATCACAAAAGTAAAATAAAATTTATGTTCAAATAAAAAAAAGTGCTACAAATAAATAAATATAACCACATGAAATTAAAAATGCATACATATTATACATAATATATGTTCAACAAAATCAAATTATAAACTTATAACAAAATCAAATAGAAATTAGTCCACTTATACCAAAATCAAAACCAAATTATAAACTTACAAATTACTAATAAACTAAAATTTTGATAGTCCACAAAACAAGTCCAAACACAATTAATCAACTTTAACTTTCTATTTCAAGAACATTAGAAACTCCCTTGGAAAAAGTTGTCTCTACTTTTTTATGTTGATCATCTTCATCCTTATCTTCTACATCAAAATAAATTAAACATAAAAAAATTAAATATAAAAAAAATTAAAGTATGCGGGTTGGCGGGTTGTGATGGGCCAGCCCGCTATTTGGCTTGGCAGGTTTGGCGGGTTGGCGGGTTGAAATATTGGGCTCGACCCGCGGATCACAATCCATTTTGTCATCCCTAGTTATTCTGGTACAGAGCACCAGACTCTTTAATGTTGTGCACTACCCATGTTCGATGCTAGATTGGTAGAGATGCCCCTATTCCACTAGCATCAAGCACTACACTACCTATGCTCAGCATGGTCTTGGCAAAAAAAACCTACTCCATTTCTTGATGTTTGTGTGTGACATTGGTAACCCTGTGTCATGCACCATTTTTATGACGTGACACTTTTAACTCATTTTTTTTCCTCTCTCTTTAAGAAATTTGGGGTATTCTTTGATCATCTTGTGATTGGGACGAGTTTGAAGCTTTTTGGAGTGTTGTTAGGGCTTCCTTCAAGACCTTCAATATTCTATAATAATGAGGGGCTAAGTCTATTATTGTTGGAGTTAGATATAACTAACTGAACTCTCATGTAATTTGTACTGTTTATTTATATATATATTATAAGGAGAGATTCATTTATTTTAAAATAAGTTTACTTAAACTTTTTATGTTCAATAACTCATATTCTACATTAAATTTTAACAATCAAACCATTGAATTTCAACATATAAAATAATTTTATGATTATTCATCAATTTAGATTAATGAAACGAAGTATCAAATGACTTTCAAATTTTTAAAAAAATTGCAAACTTGACCTATGTATTAAGAACTTTAAATTTTACGGTTGGATCATTAAAATTTAATATAGAACATGAGTTATTGAACGAAATAAGTCTAGGTAGACTTACTATTGAAATAAACGGATCCCTCTTCCCTCTCTCTCCCTATATATATATAATCATTTCAATGTTAGTATTTTGTTTCTATTCTTAATACTTGTTGTAGAGTGATCAATCATAACTTGATATTCACTAGTGCAAAAATTGGATTTAAAATCGGAGTTTTACATCCGAGTTGAAATACTGATGATAAGACACGTTTAACTGAGCGTTACAACTATTTGAACCATAGTTTTAAAAACCGGACCGGTCATCGAACCGGTTAAGGTACTGGGTCAGTGGGTCAAAGGTTGAACCGGTGGGTCACTAGTTGAACCGCATGACTCGATTTTTATTAAAAAATATTTATATTAAATATATTTTATACTTATAAATTTTAATAAATTCATATCTTATTTTAAATTTCAATTTTTCTATCTTATTTAAAATTATTTTTATTTTTATTTTGTAAAAAAATACATAAAAAAATTACATGTTAAACGGTATATTAATACAAATTAAAAATATAAATAATATGTACATATATAATATGCTTGCAATTAATATCACAAAATAATATATGTAATATTTACATAGATATTGCATTATTAAATATATAATTTAAAATTAATAATATACTATAAAAGTTATTTAAGTTGTATATATTGCAAACAAATATATTAGAACAAGTAGTCATTGTTATATTTAATAAGACTCCTTACTTTTTCATTAAGAGATTCAATTTTCATTATTATTTTTGTGATTTATGGTCCCTTAAAAAAATTTTAAAAAAAAATAAGAAAAAAATGTGGTTGAACCGGTTTGACCCACCGGTTCACCGGTTGAACTGGAAAATTGACCGGTTCAATCCGGTTTGAAACGGGTCGACTGCATAACCGATCCAACTTCAGATTCGAACCGGCTGGACCACTGGTTCCCGGTCTAACCGGTCCGACCGGCCGGGTCGGTCCGGGTTTTAAAACACTATTTTGAACCCGAATCAGGTTGAAGCTACAATCCTTAGCTTTTATATTATTTCACTCAACTGGCGTGATTTTAATACTTAACGTGCGTATCCATTGGAGAAACAAACACACGGATAATGACATAATGTACTAGTTAATGTTAAGTATGGCACGTATTATAATTATAATAAGACTATAAAATTTACTTGTTTAAAAAACTTGTATCCAAAAGTAAAAGTAAAATTTGTTTGTGTTTGGAAAATTTCAGAACAAAATACAACTTAAAGCAAAATTATAGCCAGCCACATTTTTTAAAAGATTTTTAATAAAATTACAGATCTTGAATCTCACTTTCAATATAAATCTTCATATAAAGATATAAAACACAAAAAAAATCAACTTTAATTCTAAATCTTAATTTATAAGAACGAAACACCTTAACTAACTGTACAATGATCAAAGTAAAATTTGTTTGAATACAGTGTAAGGTAGTAAGTTATAGTCAATAAATAATATGGGACAATGAATAGAAATTTTTAACTTTATTTTAGAAAATAAAAAAAGTTAAATAAGATTACTACAATTTTCATTTTACTCAAATTTTGATGTTCTAGCAAAACTTCACAAAAGTATATAATAATAATAATAATAATAATAATGTTTGAAATGTGTGTGTTGTTGTAGATGTGGGAGGATCTAATTAGGAAGGCGAAAGATGGAGGCCTTGATGTTATCGACACTTATGTGTTCTGGAATGTTCATGAACCATCTCCTGGCAATGTACCACTCTGGAATCTGGATCTTTGATTCAATTCAGTTTCAAATTCTCAAGTACCATCTCACACTTTTTTTGTGTGTGCTTTTTATAATGTTGGGTTGCAGTACAATTTTCAAGGGAGGTACGATCTGGTACGGTTCATTAAGACAGTGCAAAGGGTTGGGCTCTATGTCCACCTTCGCATTGGACCTTATGTATGCGCTGAGTGGAACTTTGGGTACATGCACTTTCAAGTTTCAGCTTTACTTTGTGGATTTCCTTGGTTTCTTGGTATGAATGCTTATTGTGTTCTTTGATGGTGTAGAGGGTTTCCTGTTTGGTTGAAGTATGTTCCTGGCATCAGCTTCAGAACAGATAATGGTCCTTTCAAGGTTAAGAATTTTAGTTCTATCTTTTGTCTTCTGAGTTCCGAGTCATTCTGCTTACTCGTGTCTTGAATGGTCTTAACCAGGAAAGTACTTTTTTTTTTTTTTTTTTACTGTTTTTAACTTTTAGGCTGCAATGCAAAGTTTCACTCAGAAAATAGTTCAGATGATGAAGAACGAAAAGCTATTTCAGTCTCAGGGTGGTCCAATCATTCTTTCTCAGGTAGGTAGGAAGTTCCTTTTACTTTTTCTAGCATAGGACCATGATAGCCGAAAGTGTTTCTTCAAAAATTGTTTCCCACATGGTAATAAGTTTCTGACTGAAAGTGAAATCTTGATGTTCAAAAGTTCTGGAGTGGATCTGGAGCTCACAAAATTCAAGCTAATAAATCACTACTTCAAGATTAAATTTTAACTCTGTCTCCATTTTTGTTTGTAATGTAATTTCTAGATTGAGAATGAGTATGGACCTGAAAGCAGGGCACTGGGAGGTGCTGGTCATGCATACACAAACTGGGCTGCAAAGATGGCTGTTGGATTGGGTACTGGTGTCCCCTGGGTAATGTGCAAGCAAGATGATGCCCCAGATCCAGTGGTGAGCCATCTCAAGTCCTTAAAGATCTTAGAGTTTGTTTGAATACAAATTACAAAAAATTTTGAGAGTTTATCTACTGAAAATAAAGAACTTTTTTGAGTAAAGAAGCTCTCAAAAGTTTTTCTGAGTTTGCATCCAAACATCCTCTTATTCATTTGCTTCAGTTGATACACTATTGGGATTATCAAATATGACTTCAACAATAGTCTTTTCCTCATTCTTTTTAGTTCATTATCATTAGATTTTTATTAAGGGTCTATCTGATTCTTCTCAACAGATAAATGCATGCAATGGTTTTTATTGTGATGACTTCTCTCCAAATAAACCATACAAACCTAGCCTTTGGACTGAGTCTTGGAGTGGTTGGTAAGTTATATTGTGTAGTTTTCTATGTTGGTTTTGAGTGAAATTTAGATACGGTTGTCTGAATTTTTTTTTATTTTTATCATTTTGATCTTGTTTCTTCTTCTTATTCCATTTTGGACAATAGGTTCACAGAATTTGGTGGTCCAATTTACCAACGACCAGTTCAGGATCTAGCATTTGGGATTGCCCGTTTCATACAAAAGGGTGGCTCATTTTTCAATTACTACATGGTTGGTCTCCTTCAATGATGTTTTTTTCTTTCCATTTAAACCAAACATACCTTTCCGTAATTTATAAACATAAATCTTACTCATGGGGTTAATGACATGTTGTAGTACCATGGAGGAACTAATTTTGGACGATCAGCTGGAGGGCCATTCGTTACTACAAGCTATGACTATGATGCTCCAATTGATGAATATGGTCAGATAATTATGCTTTCAAAACATGATAAGATTCTTTGATTTTTAGGTATTGAAAAGTATATCTTTTATAATCTAGAATTGAAACAAAATACCTAATGGAGCTTGTATCTATGAATAAAATTTGAACCATTAGTTATTTTAAACCTTTTTTATCAATGCAAATTTGTTTATTAAGTATTTAAGGGATTTATGCTTAATAAGTGAACTTAAACTCTTTCTTCTAAGGAATTAGAGTTTAAGTAAACTAGTGAATTGACATTAACATTAAATATAAAAGATGATTTGAGTAATTAAATTCATGAGAGTGAGGTTAAGTGAAATTTAATCTCAACATTAACATATCACATGATTTCTAATCTAAATCACGTTCTAATTATTTGATAAAATACCAAAAATAATTTTATTTTTTCTTTGCATAATTTTTATTTCTTTTACAAACAAACATCAATTTATAGAATATTCTTTTATCTAAATTAGTTATTAATTGTATCTGTTACCATATATTACACAAATTCTTTGAAAGATGTACTTTTCTTACTTATAATTACTTGTACGAATGATACATTACCATAGTCGTCTAATAAAGACTAGGAGTATGAAGAGAGGTGGAGAAAATTATTCTTGTGCTCTTATGTAGGTACAACATGTTTATTAACTAGTAAGTCATTAATGTGAATGAAATTAAACTCATTCTTTGGAAAATAAATTAACCTTGTATTAATTTATTGGTGTGCCCTCTCAAAAGGATACCAATTGGAGAAACTATATCTCAACCTTCTTACACGTTGTTTTCAAGGCAAAAAGACTTGTGTAGCGTCATGAAAAGATTCTGATTGAGAAACACCAACTAGAGATATATAGTAATTTAGTCAGACTGTTACCGACTTTGATTACCTAATGACTTGAGACCTTAAACTCGTTTCCCTTAGATCGTCAATCCTATACCATCCCATGGAAAGTCGGCCCCTAAGCATGTCGTTATCCGGCCGACACGATGACAGTAAGAGACAAATAACACATGAATGCAAAGGTTGATTGTTAGAATACAGGACGAGTTACTTTGAATCTATAGATCCTGATACACCAATCAATGTGTATATAACCCAATGCTAGACTTATAATGCACTAAGTTATATATACAGTTACATTTTTTAAAGAAAATTTTAGACCTTAACTGCAGCTAAGTTATTCAAGTTCCTCTTTACCAGAATAATAGGGCATAATGATTAATTTTGACTTGTATTCTAATTTGTATCATCCGGTGCAGGCTACAACTAGAAGTGTGACCAACTGCTCCAAGTTATTAATAAATAAATAAATAAATGCAGTGCCAATCAAATAAACGAACATGCAAGTGATGGTGGTTTCTGCACACCCGAGCAAAAGCCAAAGCAAGACCAGAAAAAAGGGAAAAAAGAAAAAAGAAAAAAGAAGACACGTGAAAGGAATGGGACAACTCATATAGTTGCCATTTAAGTCCACAAAAGGTTCCAACATGGTCACAGAGATGATCCTGATTTGATTTGTAACAATTAGTGGTGTTCCCGATTTGTATAGATTGTAATTATTGATATACATTTTTTGTATTTATTATAAAGAAAATTTACTCCAATGTTATATAATATTTTAACATATTGTTGTCATTATTTTCTTTGAACTAATAGAGTAATTAGTGATTTGTGTAGTATGTTTGAATATAAAACAGTGAATTGTGTAGTGAGTTGGAGTGATGGAAGGTTTGGAAGCAATGTGTCGATGGATAAGCTTGTAATGTGTTGTTTGTGGTATTGAATAGGCCATTTGCCTTCCCCACCATTTCCAGGGTCTTTGATTGTATATGGATACACATAGAGGGATCTGTGTCTGTATTATGAACTAAACATGTGGCATACAACACAATCAGAAAATAGTAGTATCCAATGTTAGGTATACTTTTGAAATGGAAAAAGATCGCTACACATCTCTGCTGTAAATAAATGATGTCTAGCGGGAGAAAAATGAGAGAAGAGATTAAAAAAAATATATATATATATTGGTATGATAGAATTTTTTTTTTAAAATACTCCTGTAATAGAAGATATAAGTTTCGTTTCTTTACACTTAGTTTAAATAATTATTTTAATAAAATAAATAATTTATTATTTTTTAAGTGTTCGTCTAAATTGTTTATTTTAAAAATAATCTTTCTATTATTTTTAAGAAACAATTTATATTTTCTTAAAATATTTTTTAAAAACGCCTTTTTTTTAATATTTTTTAGTTTAAATAAACTGACTCATGATGAGATAAATAAGGGAAAAAATTAGAAGTGTTGATGAAATATTTAGAAAGGAAAAATATTTTTAACTCATTATAAATAAAAGTGATTTTTTCCTTTCACAAGTTTGAACCTTATTTTTCTTATATAAAAAAAAAAACCTTATAAATGAGTGTTGTTAGACTTATCAAACCTTCTGCTATTTAATTATTTTTTACTGTTCATGCAAGGAACAATTCTCTTTTTATAAATCAGTCTTTTAAGATTAAATTAAGTTTTAAATCACTACAATAAAAAATTAAAAGTATAAAGTTTTTTTTATTAAAAAGTTCATTTGCAAATTTTAATATATAACATTATTGTAGTTCTTTCTATGGGTCATTCATGAAAAATTACGTTTGAACGTGAAAGTTCTAATTTTTCCCTTTTTCATTTGATGTTTGGAAACGAGAAATTGTCATTTGAGATGTTTCAAACATATTGTCAAACATGGTCTAAACCTTTATTGTTGTCTTACACAGCCTCATTGGATTCATTGTGGAGAATGATTAAGAATTGATGAAAACAAGTAAAAGTGGGATGAAGTAGTTTGCACTCGCAGAATTTATTTGATAGGTAGGAATGGAGATAAGGTTTGGCACTGATCAAGTGAGGTGTGAGATAAATATCTAAGTAGACCCCATATGAATCTTTTATTGCAAGGACTTTGTCGACAATCCTATGTTTATTAATTGGTTAACGACACCATCGTAACAACTGTATAATTAGAAAATGAGACTTTGTTAAAGATAGTTGATCAAATTTTTTAATAGAAATTAATTATCAACAAAATTGATAAATATTTATATTAATAATATAATAAATAAAAAAAAGAGTAATTATGTGTTTGATTTTACAAAATGCTTATTTATCATTAGTTATTGATGCGAGACTTTTAAGTTTTAATTGATTGAAAAAGAGGGATAATAACATTTTTTTTATAAATTTTCTTGGTTAAAAAGAAGAAAAAAGAAATTCTTAAAGGAAGTAACTATTTTTTTTATTTAGTTCATATAGAAAGATGAAAATTTTTAAAAGTTAATTTACTTTTATATCTTTATATTTTTAAATTCAAAAGCATAAATAAAAATATTTTAAACATTACACTCTAAATGTTTTAAAACTCTAAATTCTTTAAATATTAAAGAGGAGCTAACATTATACGAAGATATAGAGTATTGATATAAGTCATAATCATTAATTAGAAAAATAGTCAATTACAAATTGAAAGTAATTTTTTTAAGAAATATAATATTTTTAAAGAATTAAAGAGATGATACAATATTTTAAAAATAACTTTAGACAAATAAATTTAGAGTTTCCTTTATTTAATTAATATTTGCTAAATATCTTTCTCCACTATGGCAATATAGTGGCTTGCTCCTTTCGACGATGGTATATAATGCGACTAAACTAGTAAGAGTTTGGAATACAATACTTTAATGACGTTATGGGTTATGTTAATATACAAAGCAAGAAACCATAGTGAATACTCCTTCGGATTCGATGGTTTATTTCACTTTGAAGGGTAAGACAATTATGTCGTTATATTTTACTGTAACACCTTTTAGATTACCTGTTACATAAACAAAATATCTCAGCTTTCATCGTCTTCTTCCTTATAAATAAATATAACTAGATAGTGAAAGCAATTATGTCCAAGGAAATTCTATTTGTCCCATTCAATCACGAAAGTATCTATTTTAGTTTTTAAAGAATTCCATTATTAATTTAATTTATCAATAAGGTACATTACATTACCTACTAACCCTGCTCTGTTATATAATATATCTGGTCCGATGAATGGAACTATTGATATGAATATTATAAGTTTGCATTAAGAATGCATGAAAAGTAAGCTTGCATTAACAATGTAACTGATAAGTCAAAATAAACGACATCACTATTTGTTAAGAGAAAAGATTTGAAGCAGAAATTTTTGATGATCGAAAGAGATCAATTCTTAATCACTTATAAGACGCACTGGCGTGAAACAAGGAATGATTAAAAATATCATAAATACCTTTTTCAAGTTAAAAAGAAGATTTAGATATTCAAGCAAGTGATCACAGAGATTTAAAAGAAGTTATTCACATTACATAAATGATGTTCACATAGTAATCACATCTCAAAATAATGATTACACATTCAAGGAAGTAAGTGATCAATAATCGAAAGACGATTATCGAGAAAGTTAGAAGCGGTTGAAAAGATAACACATGATCCAAAAAAACAAGATAGTTATGTATTGCACGATGAATCCAATTATTATTATGGCCTTTCTATAAATAAATAAGTCAGACTCAGTCTCAAGGGTCAGAAACTCAATATTTACACGCTCTCTTACATTCATTGCTCACATCCATGGCTTCTATGCACGAGATAACTGAGTATGGTTTCTAGGCCAACTTTTTCCTTTCTTAAAGTAGTTTCTTTTTCTTATTTTAACGTAGTTAGGATAGTTTTAGTCTACTTTATTATTTTTGTGCTATATTGTGATCCTTATATAATGTAATAAATGACTCATTTTTTAATTTAAGGATATGGTGATCATTGCAAACATATGCGTTGCTCATTCAGTTTGTTTAAACATTTATATCCATGATTTTGATTATGTGATATTTATCGAAGAATACATAGAGATTCAGGTATGTTAAACAACCTTACAATTTAACCTTAATTAATTTGATCAAACAGATGTTATTAGAATTACAATCTGAAAAAAAAATACATTTCGTGCATATTTTCACGTATTTAACATACTTAAATTGAAAACTTTAACTAATTTGAATAAAAGTAATCTATAAATAGTTTTAATCAGAAACACGATTTTAACTTAATAACACTTTTTATTTTTATTTTTATAAATATGGTATAAAAAATTACAAAATCCATACATTGTTTTGCAAACTAAGTTCGGCACTGTAATAATACCCTAATCTTTAATGAACCCTAAACTTTAATAATACCCTAATCTTAAAATAGTTTTTCTCCCATTATCTTTTAATAAATCGTCAAAAAAAAAAACTTGAAATATTTAAAACTCATGTCAATTTCTTTTTAAAACAAAATAAAACTCATTTTTACCATGAATGAATAAAAATCATATGAGCTTCCATCATCCATAGACATTTTTGTAACCAATATAAATACCAATAAGTGCCCATTTTCTAACTGGTTCTTTTAAATCACTTTTTTTTTAATGTAGTTTTTTTAAAAAGTTTTACTTGCATTTGCTTTAGATTTCCTAAAAGAAGAATTGAAGAAAAAAATAAAAATAAAAAATCTTATTGATGTATTGTTTATTTCAGGTGAAAGTAGAATGAATAATTCTCAGTGAAAAGAAAAGTTGAGAGGAAGTCACCCTTTTCATTTTCTGGAGGACACTGTGACATGAAAGAAGGAAGAGATATAATCGCATGAGATTGTGATTCCTACTTAGTTTTTATTATAAATTAAAATATCGTTTATTCAAGAATTAAAGACTAATATTTTGAAATAATGAGATTTATTAAAGGGTTGACATTAGGGATGGCAAAAATACCCGCACCCGCGGGTATCTGCGGGTAAAATTCGCTACGGATAATAAATGGATTGGCTAATTGGATACCCACGGATAATGGGGAGGGACAATTTTTTACCCGTTTATAAACGGGGCGGGAGCGGGGATGATGATATCCCGTTTAATAATATTTTTTAAATATCCTAATTATTTTTGTATCACATAACCCTAAAACTATACTCTCTCATCTTATTTTCTTACAAAAGTGAGGTTAATGAAATTAACATGTGTTAAGCATGTTATAGAATTATGTTGGATGTAATTTGATTAATTTTCTAGCTTTGATTGGACCAATAAGATTTATGTATTTTAAGTTATTTACTCCTGTTTGGAATTATGAGATTGAATTATTATAACTTTGTGATGAGACTTTAACTTATTTATAAGATTAATGTATTTTAAGTTATTGATTATCTTGCATTTTTATTATTATTTCAACAAAATTAACATTAAATACGGGTTCAAAATTAATACTAAATTTTTATTTTTAATATTTCAATGACATTAAATATAAACTTAAACTATTTATAATATATTTTTTTTAATTTTTTAAAAAAATTATAAATATCCAAGATATCCATGGATATCCATGAGTATTTAAGAAATTCATAGATACCTATTTAATGGATACCCGCACAAATATGTGATGAATATGAGACCAATTTTCATCAAGCGGGACGAGGATGAGTTTACTATTACCCGCCTTCATGGGGCCATTGCCATCCCTAATTGACATGTTTAAACAAATACCTTTTCTTAGATGTATACATGTCAATTTTTTTCTTATTAGTAATTAAGAAACAAAAACATTTACTTTTGAATTAATGAATAAAAAACAAAAATATTATTATTTATATTTATGTTTTTATTTAGGACACGTATTCTTTTTATTTTCTAATCTATCAAATATCCTAAAAGTTGTCTTACTTTTTTTTTTGTTTCTTTATTTTTTCTTTTCATTTTCTTTCTTAAACCAAACATACTAAAAAAGAAACAAAGTTGAATCAATTGGTAGTGAAGGAACTCATATTTTCGAGAATATAAATTTGATTCTTGTTACTCATGTGAAAACTTTGTCAGCAGATAAAAGTTATCTAAAACTAATAATTTTTTTTTATTTTGGATAAAAAATTTATAATAACCCACTATATGATGTAAATTTAGATTTTTTTTATATAATAATATGGTAAGAAGTGGATCCTAAAAAACAATTTTAATTCTTTTTGTTATGTATGCTATAAAAGTAATATTAAACTGTAAACATTATTTGAAGTTTGGAATTATTTATTCCTGCGTCTGTCCTGTACTGCACTTGTTTAATCTATTTTGATTGAATTTTTCAAAACAATATTTCACTAAAGTTTTGGTTACAGCCCTGATGGAGAGGATAACCGATCATTATATATATATATATATA